TTGCTCCATCTCTGTCCACTTAAAAAGAAGGGACACTGAATGCAGTAAAGTCAGTCACACTGAGACCCTTGATTTTACACCTATAGTTGCCCCTCTGTGAAAACATCTGGTCCACTCATGGGAAATCTATGGTGCCACTGATAGGAGTCATAATTAAATGGAAGTTAAAAACCTGGAGAGATTTTTCTCTTATCTGGTCTCTCTATTTTAAAGGTTATTATAGATTGTTTCTTGGGGATGATCTTGGCTAAATGTGTGTCTAGAAGATGATTTTTTTATTGTAACATCTGGTATCTAAATGAGTTTGAAGCATTGCATAATCTTGCAGTTAAAAGTTGGGGTTAGGTAATTGTTTAGTTTGTGATTTCAGATAATTCATGCAGGAGAACTTAAATACTTAGGATAGAAAATTAAAAGAATTCTACTTCCAAGTTGGCAAGTAACTCCCAATCATTTAGTTTTATTTTGAACTGGGTAGCCTGAGAAGATTTCACTAGGTGTACCAGTGCATTAACTTGGGCAAGGATAGTAAATTATGATATGGTATCTGTTCCCCTCAGTGTGTAAGATTTAGGAAAAAAATGTTGAATTGGAACATTGGTCTGGCTTATTGAAATAACATTGAATAGCAACAGTCTTAAATTTTTAAAGCTTAATTTTGGATATACATGGTAGTGTGTGGTTCTCTTAAGATTTTTTCAGGTGATTTAATGTAACTTAATACTACTTTAGAAACTTCAGAACAAAGGAAGTGACTTAATGATCCTAAAGAAATTTCTTCTGATGGTAGAGATCCTATTTTCAGTTTTGTGTGAGCAAGTTTTTCTAGTGTAGGAAAATGTAAAGGTATGAAATTTTATAAATTGTATCTTAAACTTGTATCATAATTTTCAACATCCAAACCTGAAAATTGTGACTTATGGTTAAAATGCCTTAGGCATGAGGTTTCTGCTCAGAATTCCAGTTTTCCCAGTTCCTTCCAGACCTCAGCCAGGACTTAAGTTGATATGCAAATAGAAGAAGCCTGGAGCACTCAGTATGAGACAGATCTGAGGCGCCCCCCCCAAAAAAAAGAGTAAAAGTGTCTTTTTATGGGAACTCAAACTAGATTAAACCAAAGAGTAAATTGTATGGCATTTACTAATTACTGGCCAGTCAATTTTTTCTAGGACTTTTGCTTTTTCTTAGATTCTGTATTTTTTTTGAGTTCATGATTTTGATCCTACAGACAAGTTAATGTTTTTCTGATAAGTTCTATTTTTGATCAACTGGAGTTTTTTTTTTAAACATCGCAATGAGATTTCACCTGAGAAAGCTACAAGGCCTTTACTATTGTGTTGTGTTACACTTGTGTTACGTGTTGTATGTCGGTATGTCTGTATGTGTGTATGTCCATATATCATGCAGTGATATGACAATTGATAGATGAGGAGCACTCATGGAAAATTTTTAAAAAAATGGATCCAAATATCTTTGATTCACGTGATTCAAATGGTTCAATTTAAATTGGGTAAACAGATGAAAGTAAAGATGTCTTTAAAATTAAGCTTATAAGTTTTTCTAGATGTTCAAAAAGGCCCTAATAAAATGTTAAATCTGCTTAAATTCAAAAATTTACAAGTATTGTTTCAAAATGTGAACAGAAGGAGGTTAACAGATAAAAAAGAGAAACTAGAAGGTTCTAGATATGGATTTAATAGAGGGAAAATGTGTTTCTGGATAAGAGTCTATATGATTAAGAGGGTTTAAGTAAATGATATAAAAAAAGGTCTGTGTAAGTTGCTTGTACGTGTAAGTTTTTGAGCAAGTAATCTTAAAGAAATTAAACAGCTGGTTAAACAAGTACTGTTTTTAGAGAATTGTGCCATGTTATTTCTTTAAAAAGCTAAACTTGATTAATATAAAAACATCAATGTAATTGTGGTGTTAATGTGCCCATATCTTCCAGGTATACAAGTCTGTAAGGTAGAAGTTTTAAAAGAGCATTATATCAAGCTGGTGTTCTAAAGTTGTATGGTAATTTTAGGCTTAAAAAGAAAAACATGTTGGAGATTTATTTATATCATTTGTGTTCTATAACTGGACTTGTTATCAATAAGATATGTAAAGTTCTATGTTACTTTTTACACTGAGATACAATTTAAATGTATTTTTAAGTTAATGAGAGCCTAATCTGTGTGAAGGTTTTATTGCAAAACACAAAAGTACATTACTACTTTTCTACAAAAGGTTAAAAGCTTTCAGCTTTTCTTTAATTCATGTTTTAGGTGTGATATTATATTGTGTTAGCTAATATTCATGTGAACTTGAGCAACAATTTATGTAGGCTTTGTAAAATGATGTTTGAAAAGCAAAGATCAGTTTCAGAACTATAGTACTTAAGATTTATGAAGAGCCCTGCCTTACTTGAGATAAGGCTCTGTCCCATCTCACTACATTTGAAAGTGACTATGGAAGAAGTAGGCCAGATTTCAGTACATTTAAAGTTGTGTCCAAAAGTAGTTTTTTGCCAAGATTACTAGGATCTCAAACAGGGAATTATGATGTATAACCCTGCCAGAATTCAAGGTAGCTATTACATGAACTAAATATGTTTTTACTCTTGATAATTTTATTTTGTACTTTTCTTATAAATGATTTAAGATTGCCTGTTAATGTTTTGCAGAGGTACTGCTTTAAGAACACACAACCTGGGTTAATTTAAGATAAGGAGTTATCACCTACAGGATAGAGAGATAGACATTAAAGCCCAGTACTCTTAGTATAAGGCTGTTGAAACTTATTTGCTGGATGTTTAAGATTAAGTTTTAAAATTAGTTAAATTAAAAGGGCCAAGAAAACCAATAATTGGCTCTTGCCCTCTAAGTCAGTCTGAATCAGGGAATAGGGGACTTCTCCAAAGGGCTCTGCAACTCTAGGCCACATAACCTCCTGAGTAGGGAGATTAATGAGACCAGTGGAGGACAGAAAGCCAATCAGTGCATTTGCTGTGAAGAGGAGGGTCATCAGAAAAGGGAGACATCCCTGATGCTTCCAAGGGAAGCCACATGGTCAAGCAAGGCCTGGACCCATCCTAGCGCAAATGGCACTAGCAGCGCAAATGGCACTAGCTGAACTGAGAAGCTGCTGTGAAGTTCCCGAGGACTCCCAGGGAAACTCAGCTGACTGTTAACAATAGATAGAAACAAAAGTCAGTTTGACTTGCTTCATCTTAAACACTTAGCAAAGACAGTCAAAGCCAAAGCACAGCTGTTCCTGGACATTTTAAATAATAATAATAGTTAAATGTAACTTCCAAAAATAAGTAAACTGGAGGCTACAAAAGAGATTCTCAGACAGGAATGCCTGATAACTATCAAAAGGAACTGCCAGAGTAGTTTTTAGTTTAAGGCCTTTATTTCTAACTTACACAGGTAGGCTTAGTGTTTGCAAGTATGGTTATCCAGCCCTAAGTAACAGAATTAAAGATTTCTCTATTAGACACAGAGGTCATACTAGTAAAAGGATTTTGCAAGATCAGATGACATTAGCTTGTTAAACTATATCTTAAGGGAAAGGACATCTGTAACCCTAAAAGTTAAATGTTGTGTTTACATTCCTGACAATTCTGGCAATGTGACAAATATCCTTAAAGATTTACATGCTCAGATAGAAGCCATGTCCTCAGCAACTTTGTTATGGAAACAATATCTTAGCTCCTGGTTCTTGGTACTTCCTGGTGGAAAACATTGTTAGTCTTTGTCTTTGCCATCATACTCATTGGCATATTCCTGTGCTATGGCATTTATTGCTGCATCAATATGGTTCCAGTACTAATGAATTATTGTTTCTCTTATAGACCATCCATCACTCAAATGGCCCTCCAGCCTATTACTTCTCAATCAGACTTCTATCATGGACCACTCAATAGACCCGATTTTTAAAGGGGGACTCCAAACTGCTTGCCCCACACCGTCCCTTTTCAGCCTGAAGAAGCCAGAAAGATCTTCTTCGCCCCCCTTCCTTACAGCAGTAAGGAGTTCCCAACTTAGAGGGGGGAATGAAGCCAGATTTAAAGTTAGGTAGTCAGTGTAGTTAGATAAATCCGGGTCTAATGCCGAGTGAAATCTAAAATGGAGGCCATGCTGGCAATGATTCCGGGGAAACAGGACAACTCATGGAATGTTAATGAAGTCCCGAAAAGGCCCTAGGCCAAAGTCCACCTCAAAGAAATGTTAATGAACAGCCCCCAGCAAAAAGGTGCTGACTCAGAAGTCCTTCCTGACCAGATTACTTCTTTGGCCCACCTGTGTCCCACCCCTCGGTCCTTCCCACCTACATTCCATCACTGAAAGAACTATAAAAAGGGGAGACAACATCCCTTCCACGGATTCCACCTCTTGGGTCCCCTTCTTCCTCCGGGAGAAGTCTTTTCTGCTGTCCTTTAATAAACTTCTAATTTCTACTCAAAAAAAAAAAAAAAAGAAATTGATGGATAAAAGATTCTATAGATGTCTGATAGGTTCATGTTACTAATTTATTGTTTAATTCTATGGAAACTTGGTTTTTATTTCTGGATGATCAATCCAGTTGTGGGAGATGTGTGTTAAAGTCAAACTAGTCTGTTTGATTCTTAATATTGAAAAGGATTTTTCTATGTATTTAAATACATGCACCATTGTTTGGGGCATAAATATTGATGATCTTTATGTCTTCATGATGGATGATCCCATAAGAACTATGAAGTGACTTTCTTTGTCTCTTCCACTTAATCTTGGCTTGAAGTCCATTTTGTGATATGAGAATAGCTATCTTTGCTTGTTTTTGAGTCCCATGGGTTGGTATATGTTTTTCCCATCTTTTTACCTTCAGTGTGGATGTCTTTGCCTGTGAGGTGAGTCTCTTGCAGAAAGTATATTATTGGGGCTTGTTTTTTTAATCCACTCAGAGAGCCTAAGGCTTCAGGGCTAGGGATATAGCTCAGTTGGTAGAGTGTGGGGAGCTGCTCTGAATGACCACACCTTCCAGTCCTGAAGCAGGAGGCTCTGACCAATCACTACATTCATGGTGACTTGGGCGTTGATCCAGCTCAGACAGCAAGGCGGGTCTTCAGGTGTAGGCATACCCCTGGGGTTGAGTTACACTCTCCTGCTCCCTTGTAATCCTACGCTTTCTGCCCTTTTATGGATAGAACCTTTTAAGAACAGCATTTCCCTGAAAAAAGCTCACTTCCAAACGAGCTCCCTCTCTCTCTCATCAGTCTCTCATGACTTTCTCTTGCTCTCCCTTTTGGGGAGCTTGAGGCAGAGAGCTAGAGGAAGTTCCCCTGAAGCTTGTGTAAAGGTAAATTGTGTCTGTGTTTTATTTTGAATAACCACAAATTCACATGAGTGACCTTATTTCAGCTGCCCCTGCTGGTCAGGGGTTAGAGGGCCTGCCTTGTATGTACAAGGTGCTGGGTTCAAGCACGGGGGGGGGAGGGGGGAGAGAGAGAGAGAGAGAGACAGCCAGCCTAAGAGAGAGCCAGCCAGCCTAAGAGAGAGCCTGAGTCTTTAGATTGAAGACTTTAGACCATTTATATTCAATGTTATTATAAAGAAATTATTTTACTTCCTGCCATCTTCATTTGTTCCTAATGTTTCAATTGGACCTGATTGTCCTTTACTAGACTGTTCTTTTAGTGTAAGTACTCTCTAGGATGGTTTTTATTTTTATTTTTCATTTCTTCTTCATAAAATATTTATTAAGCATGTTCTATATGGAAGGCTTAAGTGGTTATGAATTGGTTTAGCTTCTGTTTACCATGTAAGGTTTCATTTCATCTTGGATCTGAAGATGAATTTTTTGGGCTATAGTATTCCTTATTGGCATCCACTTTCTTTCAGAGATAGGTCTATATCATTCCAAGCCCTCTAATCTTTCAGGATCTGGTTGAGAAATCAGATGAAATCCTATAGGTTTATTTCTGCCTGTGAGCAGACAATCTTCTCTTGCACCTGAAAAGTTTTTTGAAAAGTAAGAAAACAAGTTTAGATAAGAATGTGTGTGCCTAGCTGAATGCTTTGGCTGTTTTGTACACTTTAAGATCTTCTTACGGCCACACTATGATTATGCATCAGATGAAATCCATTGGTCTAGATATATGGGTTTTTTTGTCTTTTTCTTTCTAATTCTCTCTCTCTCTCTCTCTCTCTCTCTCTCTCTCTCTCTGTGTGTGTGTGTTTGTGTGTGTGTGTGTGTGTGTGTGTGAGACAGAGAGAGAGAGAGACAGAGAGACAGAGAAAGAAAAAAAATCTAAACATTGAATTCCAATCAACAGCCTCAAAAATGAATAATGAGAAAGGACAGTATATTTCATGTTCAGGGACAAGCAATCCAACACAGAATCAGAGAGCAGAGTGGGAGTTGTATAAGGGGCACCGAGCCTCAGGCGTCTATGTGGGGTTGTCAAGTGAGTCCTGGAAACAGGAGACATAAGTCAATATGGTCTGTTAAAGCCACAAAATCAGGAAAAGAAACACTTCACCCACAAGTGGAGAGCTGTGGAATTTGAACCCCATGGTGTAGCTGATTTTTATGGTCAACTTCATCTCAAAGTGCCTAAAAATACATTTTTGAATTTTTTTTTTTTAACTGGGGAAAATCTCTACAAATCACTACAGCTTTCCAAGTCACAAAAGTTCTGTGTATCCCAGGAAAGCTCTAGAACAGAGCTCATGACTGACATGAAGGGGGACATATGTCCAAGTTGCCTTCCTGTTTTCATGTCAGGATTTCTGGATTGCACATTCAAACTTTCTTTGCCCAAATGAGGCCAGAATGAATGATCAAGAGGATGAAAAGCCAGCTTTGTCCTCTCTGTCTACAAAAGAAAAATGTGTGTCATCATTACTCAAGAACTGACATGATGTTCTAGGCACCCTGACACTCAGTTTCAAGTACAGAAAGAATGTCATGTGATACCTATTTTTGAAGAAGATAGAGCATGAAAGAATTATGGCACATGACTCAGAAAGAACCAAGGGATAAATACTAACACATGAGGAAAAGGAAATCATGTTTTCATTCCAGACTGAAAATTCTACCAAATATAAATGGGTCTAATATGGTAATTGACTATCTCCTACTATACACATTAGTAAAAAAACAGGTTGTTGTGTGTGCCGACATGAGCCACTTGGCAGGGTATAAAAGGGGATATAGGACCAACAAACTTCCAAACCTTCAAAACCCACCTTCCTGGAAACACCCCCAGAACCTCCCGTCTCTGACACCATGTGCAACTCCTCTTGTGGCTCCTGCTGCTCTGGCCAGGACTGTGGCTGCTGCCAGCCCAGGTGCTGCCAGACCACCTGCTGCAGGACCACCTACTGCCGCCCCAGCTGCTGTGTCTCCAGCTGCTGCAGCCCCTGCTGTGGTGGTTCCAGTGGCTGTGGCTCTAGTGGCTGTGGCTCCTGCTGCTGCCAGCCCATCTGCTGTAGGACCACCTGCTGCAGGACCACTTGCTGCTGCCCCAGCTGCTGTGGGTCCAGCTGCTGCAGCCCCTGCTGTCGTGGTTCCAGTGGCTGTGGCTCCTGCTGCTGTCACCCTACCTGCCTCCAGACCACCTGCTGCAGGACCACCTGCTGCCGACCCTGCTGCTGTGTGGCCAGCTGCTGCCGCCCAAGCTGCTGCTGCTAGTCTCTGTGCCACCAGCCCAACTGCTGCTAGCTGCCCCACCACTTCATTCCTCTCCTCCTGCTCCACTGCTTCTTGTGCTCAGCACCCATACCTGCCCCCCTGCCCCCCCCCCACTGCTCTTCAACCAACAGACTTGATGGAGTCCATCTCTGGGCACAGTCAGCACAGGCCACTTACAAACCTTCATTCCAAAGGGTGGTTTGATAGCATTTGGCCTCCACATGGATAGCCCCTCCTCCACCACATTATCAGCTGTCTCCCAAAAGGAGTTCTCTTTTCCCTAAATCTGTCTGCTATCATGTTACCCCATGGAGCCAACTGCTCTGTGTTATATTTCCTTGTGTCAATAGAATCCTACATCTTCAATAAATGTAACTTAGACTGGCATACAAACATCTGTGTCTCTTTATTTTTCCTTTTTTTGAATTTTTGTCCTTCTTTGTCACCCTTTTTGGTAGTTCATCTCTAAACATTGAGAAATCATAGCATACGACTTGAGGTGCTCCATCTCTGCTCAGTGAGCATTTCACAACCTAATACAGGAAGATAATTTGAAAAGCAAGCACCTGGTCCTCCTGCCCAAGGACCTTCTTGGGATAAAGACCAAGCTCTGTTCCCAGGGTTCAAGCCCCCAGAACAGAGTTCAACCAGTGAATAGAGATTGGTGGACAGATTCCCCCTGGGTGAGCCTTCTGGTCAACCAGAGATCTTCACGGAGTTGGAGCTCAGATACCTTCAGGAATGATCTCTTCATTATGTCACTCTGCTGTCTTTCCTCTCCATGCTGGAACATTTTCCATCTTTCCTATAGTGTTACCTGGGATCAATTTGCAAATAAATTCTTGAATCCCAAAACCCAAATGAGGATCTTTCTGAATATTTATCCAGACAAGTTATATTGTTTTCTTACTCTCTGTGTGCCTGCTCCTGAACAACTTTTCATCATGGTCAATTCTTGGTTTGACTCTCATAAACCAAACTCATAAATCCTCTGAGCAAATGGCTGTTTCTTATCAATTTTTACAGTACCTTTTAGAGTTGTCATCTTGAATGTTTACTTTCTGTACATTACTGCATATGAGGTACATGAAAAAATATCCCTTTCCTAACTCTTTTAAGGAGGTACCACCCTAGGCTGTGTGGGATGAGGCTGTGTATAAGGATGTGTCACCCTGTGATCTGTGTGTTCATCAGGGCTCACTAAAAACAGAACCTGAAGTGGAGGATTTTTTTTTGTTTTGTTTTATACTGATTTGTTTTAGGAAAGGTAAATGAAGAATAGCTTTCAGGAGATATCTGAAAGCAACCATGGGAGACATGTTACCTCATGTAACATGTTCTGTGATTTCTACCCACTCTGATTTTCCAGGAAGCTCTAGACACTGAGAGGGAGACTATATCTGCATCTTGTAGAAGTGATGTGGCTGGACCGTAGCACTTCTACTCAGTTGTCACTAGCTGGGGAAGTGGGTTTGGTACAGACAGGGCAGAATGTTCCAGAGGAAGTGGCATCTATGCTGGAGAACAGAGCCAGTGAGCAGTTTGAGCCCAGGGCACTGTGTACACAACTAGCTTGATGATGGGAGCACATTAAGGTAAAAGCTCTATTGGCAGGGAATCGTGGTCCATTATATTCAATCACTGGTCTTCCAATGTCTTCCCAACTTGTTAGATAACATTTCTGGAGAACATTATCTTAGAAGTGTTATTAGGCTGGATTTCACCTGATCAAGTGGACTTGCCTAGAAAATCACCTGGGTCTCACCCTCAGAGTTCTGAGCCTTCATGGCCTGTAGCTCTTCGATTTGCTCATTTGCAGTTAAAACTGGAAGAATATTTCCAGGGATAACACCTTCACTCTCACATATGCTAAAAACATTTCTCTTCATTCCATCATGCAGCATTCCTGCTAATTTCTCCCAATAATGAGGTCAGTTACAAGTTGGCATAGCTTCTTTCATAGCCTGAGCATCCATTGGCATGAGAGGCCTAAAGTGATAAGGTGACAGCCATAGTTTTCATTGCAATGGAACTCAAGCTACCTCTCCTGGAGTCTCCTCACTTCTGGAGCCAGGACACCGTCTACCATAAAGACTAAATTTGTATAGTAAAGAAGTATAGATTTCCTGCTAAAGATGCCTTGGTATATAAGTCAGAGAGATAGGTCCACATTCAATGCTTTTTTTTTTTCCTGTATTAGTGTATTCTAACAATAGGAGCCACAGCTCCACCACATGGTCCTTGATTTATGTGTTTACTGTGTCATGAGTGGTAGTGCTCCATCCTCACATGTGGACATTACCATGCTGAGGCTGGTGCCATGGTGTAAAGTGGTCCAGACATCATATTATTCATTCAACTGCTTCTAGGTGATGAGAAAAAATGTAGAATGTAGGAACGGTGAATTCCCATGGGCATATATTAATTGTCCTACAACTTTTCCTGTATATTTGGGCTTATTAATCCTAGGTGAAGTAACTGAAGTCTCCATGGTGCTACATCAAATGTGTTTAAGCCTCAATATGGTGACTGAGGCTCTTTAGGCTGAAAAGTAGACACTTACCCAGACTAAAAGCCAACCCCAGCCAGAAACAAATAACTGGCTGATATCCTCAGGTGTGGTACCTTAATAGGACCTCTGTGTTGGTCTCTTGATGGATGATGTTTTATTCAACTTTTTCATGGTTCTGACGAAAAGACCTGACAAGAACAATTTTTGAGGACAGAAGGTTTATTTGGCACTCAGGGACTCAGATGTCTCAGTCCATAGATGGCTGATTTGGTGCTCTGGGCCTAAGAGGAGGCACAACACCAGGCCAGAAGGATGTGGAGGAGCCACAGAGATCAGGACATGGTGATGAAGAAGCAGAGAGATGGTTCCATTCACCAAGGACAGAATATCAACACCAAAGGCATGGGATTTTCTCTCTGTCCTCCACTCTATTGCACTTGTATTCATGCTTTTTTTTGGTGCCAATACCATGCTGTTCTTCTAAATGGAGCTCTGTAGTATAATTTGAGGTGATATTGACATGTTTTACCTTTGCTTTTCTCATGAAAGGTGGCTTTGGCTATTCAGAATCTCTTATTGTTCTCAATGAATTTCATAATGGCTTTTTCTTGTTCTGTGAAAAATGTCATTGGACTTTTGATGGAAATTCCATTGAGTCTGTATAGCACTTTGTGCTATATGGACAGTCTGATAATATTTATTCTGCTTCCCAAGAACATGAGAAGCCTTTCCATGTTCAAACATCTGCTTCAATTTCTTTCTTTAGTGCACTGTTTTTTTTTTTCCATTGTTGAAGTCCTTAATTAGTTTTGAGAGAGTGATTCCCATTTATTTGGGGGGGGGCACTGTGATTTGGGTATTTTGCTTTTTAGCAGATGGATCATTTGAGTATAGGAAAACATTTAATTTACAAGTGTTGATCTCATATGCTACTACATAGCTAATCTACAACGATCTCTAAAAGTCTTCTGGTGGAGTTCTTTGCTTCTTCTAAATAGAGGATCATATCTTCAATTGAGAGAATTTGAGCTCTTCCTCTCCTATTCATATTTCTTTAATTTCCTTCTATTGACTGATTACTTTGACTAGAGTTTCAAGAATGATGTAGAATGTAAATTGTGAAAGTGGACATCCTTGCCTTATTCCTGTTTTTATATAAAGTGCTTTTCATTTTTCTCTGTTTAGTGCGATGTTTGTCTTGGGCTTGCCATATAGAGTCTTGACAATGTTGAGGTAATTTCTTTCTAGCCTTAGTTATTTTTGTGTGTGTGTGTGTTTTAAACATGAGTGTGTGCTGTATTTTCTCCAATTATTTTTCTGCATATTTTGAGATAATTGTGTGATTCTCATTCTTAAGACCATTGTGTGGGGTTACATTTACTGATTCCCATATTTTGAACCAAACTAGTATCTCTGGGATGAAACCCACTTTACCATAGAACATTGTCTTTTAATATGTTTTTGGATGTCCACTAATGTTTTATTCTAGAAGCATCAAGGATATTGGCCCGAAGTGTTCTTTCCTTAGTGAATCTTTCTCTGATTGTTGCCCAGGGTGATAGTGGCTTCATAGAATGAGTTTGGCAGTGTTCCCTCCTTTTCTATTTCAGGGAATAGTATGATAAGGATTTGGATTAGTTCTTCTTAAAAAAGTGTGGTAGAAATTGCCAGAAGTTGGTGGAATTCTGTTAAAAATTCTGTTAAAAATTGTCCATTCCTGGGCTTTAATTGGAAGGGTTTGATTATTTTTTCGAATTCATTTCTTGAGTTAATCTATTTAAGTTTTAGATATCTTCATGGTTCAATTTGGGTAGATCATATGCTCCTAGGAATATGTCCATATCTTTAAAATTTTCTAGCAGATTGAAGTATCAATTTCCAAAAAAGTATTTGATGATCGTCTGGATTTCAATAGTGTCTGTGGTGATCTTTACTTTTTCATCTCAAATTTTGTGAATATGCTCATTTCTCTCTTTATTTTCAATTAGTTTCATTGGAGTTTATCAGTCTTGTTGAATCATTCCAAAACAACCTGCTTGCTTCATTGATGTTTTGCATTTTTAAAAAAATTCAATTTCATCGATTTAGGCTCTAATTTGGTGTTGATTCGTTTTTTGTTTTTCTAGGGCTATGAGATATTAGATTATATATTTGATATCTCTCTTTGCTTTTGATACATAAACTCAATGCTATAAGATTCCTTTTAGAATTGGCTTCATACTGTCCCAGAGATATTCATATATTGTATTCTTATTCTCATTTACTTCTAAGAATTTTTAAAATTTGTCACCTGATTTCTGCTCCTATCTGTTCATCATTCACAAGTATACTATTTAATCTCCAGGTGTTAGAGTGATCTGTTTTTTACATCATCTTTGGTTCCTAATTTCATTTCATTATGATCTGATAGGAAGCTAGGTATTTTCAATAATACTTTGAATTGGCTAAGATTTGCTTTGTGACCTAGAACATGGTTTATTTTAGAAAATGTTCCATATGCCGCTGAGAAAAAAGTGAAGTCAGACATTGATGGATGAAATATTCTAGAGATATCTATTAGGTCCAGGTTACTAATTATATTGTTTAGTTCCGTGGAATCTTTACTAAGTCTTTTTCTGGATGATATATCCAGTCTTGAGAGAGGTATGTAAAAGTCAATCAGTATTATTGTATCATCATCTCTGTGATTCTTAATACTGAGGATTGGTTATGTATTTGGATGTTCCATTATTTTAGGCTTAGTATTAATGCTCATTATCTCTTGTTGGATGATACCTGAAAGCACTATGGAGAGTTCTTTATTGTGTCTTCCATTTAATCTTGGCTTGAAGTCCATTTTTTTTTTCTGATATGAGAATAGCTACCATTGCTTGTTTATGAGGCCCACATGAATGGTGTATGTTTTCCCTGTTCTTTTACCTTCAGTCTGTGGATGCTTTGCCTGTGAGGTGAGTCTATTGCAGACAACATATTGCTGGGTCTTGTGTTTGTACTTCAGGCTGCCACCCTCATGTCTTCAATTGAGGACTTCAGACCATTTGTATTCAGGGTTATTATAGAGAGATGATTTTATTTCCTGCCATATTCAATGATTTTTAATGTTTCAGTTGGTCTTGATTGTTCCTTACTCAAGTCTTTTTCTAGTGTAATTCCTTCATATAATGATTTTGGTTTTTATTTTTCAATTCATCTTCATAAAATGTTTTATTTAGTATGCATTTGAATTAGAGGCATTGTGGTTCTGAATTAATTTAGTGTCTGTTTATCATATAAGGTTTGCTTTCATCTTTGATTCTGAAGCTTAAGTTTGATGGCTGTAGCTTTCTTGGTTGGCATCTATTTTCTTTCAGAAGTAGGAATATACTATTCCAATCCCAGCAGTCTTTCAGGATCTTGGTTGAGAAATCAGGTGAAATCCTATTGTTTTAACTCTACCTTTGACTGGTAATTTTTCTCTTGCAGCTGAAATGTTTTCTGAAATATATGGAAATGAGTTTAGATAGTAATGTATAATGATATTGTAAGAACAGATACAAATACAATCTATGGCAATGACACATTTCTATCACTCTACATATTTCTCTGATTACCTATATTGCTTCAAATAAAAACTCACAATATTTATTATTATAATATATAATATTATATATATATTTCATTCCTCAATATTTAAATGAGCTATGAGTTTAACTGGGAAATAAATTCTTTGAATAGAAACTATGTAGAATTTCCTATCAATTAGACATGAGTATTTTGTCTCTATTTGGATGATATGTTATACTAAGACTTGTGAATTCAGATAATTCTAGTACATATTAACTATGGACACAATATGTTACAAATATTTACTTTAAAAAGATTGTGCAATAATGAAATGTGACACCTGAGAGGAAATGTGCCTTTTTCATGCCTTTGTTTCAAAGATATATTAATGCCATGAGTCCATGCTACTCACATACATAACCCAATTCCTGGAAAGTGTTAGTTGTGTCTACCATCATGTGTTCTTTATCGTACCATTCAATACAGGAAAGGAAAACCTACTGAGAACAAACATTCTACACTGTCTCTAAAACTCCAAATCATAAAAAAGGTGAGTTTGTAGACCTCAGATAATTCATCCATATGGACCAGAAGTGAATTCTCCATTCTATTTCCCTAGACCATGAGTAAAATTAAGGAAGGAGTGCATAGAGTTATGTCTCTCCTGTATTCAGTTTCCTCCATCAGAATCCAGTGTGTGGTTGACAGTGATATTCCATGATCTTCATGGTTCCTCCTCAACAATAGGATTCTTTGCTGTGGAAAAACGATTCTGCGAAACTCCCTAAATGTTTGTAGAAAACTTTCTGATAGTAATCAAAATTTTTGAATATGTTTCATTTTTCCTCTGCCATGCCTGCACACCAATCCAGTGAATTATCTCCCCACTCAAACATTGTAGTATTTAAACACGTCTTATTCTCCTGTCTCAGCAAACAAACCCTTAATATAAGAACACCTGAATCAGACGTTTCCTAAGCAAGATAATAGGATGGAAATATTAAAAGGGTTTATTCTTTAAAGAGCCTAACTAAAATTTGATAAAAACAATGAAGATTGCCACCACAGAGAAACCAAATACTCTCTTCCTTCCTGTTTGTTACATGCAGAAGACTACCTACTGGACTGGCAGCATCCCTCCTTTTGAGCAAAAGAAGTCAAAGGCTTTTAGCAGTGGAATTTGGTGACCTTAGAGCTTTGACTTCATCCTCACTATGGATATATGTCACTGATATGCATTGTCGAGATAACTGTTTTCAGTTTGCCTCTGATTTTCATTTGGTTGTTTGATTTGTTAGATTATAAAACCTAAATGGTGAAACCAGATCAATAACCACAACAAAGAAAAAAGAGAACGCTTGATATCTCCAAAGCCTAGTCATCACGGCAGGTGGGAGTGAAATGAAAAAGGAGGAACCTCAGAGGTTGTCAAGAGAGTGCTGGACACAGAGGATGAGTCAATATGGCCTGTAAGGACCACAGAGTCAGGGAAGCCAAAACAGAGAAAAGCACTTCTCCACCAAGAAGAGGGTGGCAGGACCTCAAGGTTGTGGTGTAGCTGATCTCAACAGCCAACTTCCCTCAGGAGACCCTGAAGTTCCTTTTAGATATTGGTTGCAGGGGAGAGAAAAACATGGAATATCATGACCTAGGTTCCCCCCTGACAAATGTTCTGTGTATTCCATTAAATGACTAAAATGCACAAGATTGAGAGTGGGAATGGGGAATATGTCCTAGTGTCCTCGCTGCTCTGGTGCATGGTCTGTGATGCACATTCCAAACTTCTTACCCCAGATGACCCTTAGGGAAAGAGCCATGAGATGACAAAGCCAATGCTTAATTTTGTGGCCCCGGAAATAAGTATGGGATGCTAAAGTCAATCTTTCCCAAGACACACATGATGTACTCTGACATTGACACTGAAGCCCAGCAGAAAGAGGCAGAATGTCATGTGACACGTCTCTTTGAGGAAGGAGAGCTAGAAAGACACTTGAGAGATGATCCAGGAAGAACTGACAAATGAATCCTAACACATCAGGGAAAGGAAATCCTGTTCTCCATTCCACCTGAAATTGGACCAAAAATGAGTGAGCCTAATTGAATAATAGCCTGTTTACTAATACAAACAATAACAAGGAAAGGATGTTGCATATGAAGACAGCAGCCCCTTAGCAGGGTATAAAAGGGGACGTGGATCAGAGAGACCTCCAAACCTTTGAAACCCACCTTCCTGGAAATACCCCCAGAACCTCCAGTCTCTGACACCATGTGCAACTCCTGTTGTGGCTCCTGCTGCTCTGGCCAGGGCTGTGGCTGCTGCCAGCCCAGGTGCTGCCAGACCACCTGCTGCAGGACCACCTGCTGCCGCCCCAGCTGCTGTGTCTCCAGCTGCTGCAGCCCCTGCTGTGGAGGTTCCAGTGGCTGTGGCTCCTGCTGCTGCCAGCCCATCTGCTGTAGGACCACCTACTGCCGCCCCAGCTGCTGTGGCTCCAGCTGCTGCAGCTGTGGTGGGTCCAATGGCTGTGGAGGTTCCAGTGGCTGTGGCTCCTGCTGCTGCCAGCCCATCTGCTGTAAGACTACCTGCTGCAGGACCACCTGCTGCTGCCCCACCTGCTGTGGGTCCTGCTGTGGTGGCTCCAGTGGCTGTGGCTCCAGTGGCTGTGGCTCCTGCTGCTGCCGCCCCATCTGCTGTAGGACCACCTGCTGCCGCCCCAGCTGCTGCGGCTCCAGCTGCTGCAGCCCCTGCTGTGGTAGTTCCAGTGGCTGTGGAGGTTCCAGTGGCTATGGCTCCTGCTGGTCTCTCCCCTGCTGCCTCCAGACCACCTGCTTCAGGACCACCTGCTGCCGACCCTGCTGCTGTGTGGCCAGCTGCTGTCGCCCAAGCTGCTGCTGCTAGTCTCTGTGCCACCAGCCCAACTGCTGCTAGCTGCCCCACCACTTCATTCCTCTCCTCCTGCTCCACTGCTTCTTATGCTCAGCACCCGCACCTGCCCCCCCGCCCCCCCCCACCCCACTGCTCTTCAACCAACAGACTTGATGGAGTCCATCTCTGGGCACAGTCAGCACAGGCCACTTACAAACCTTCATTCCAGTGGGTGGTTTGATAGCGTTTGGCCTCCACATGGGTAGCCCCTCCTCCACCACGTTATCAGCTGTCTCCAAAATCAAAAGGAGTTCTCTTTTCCCTGAATCTGTCTGCTCTCATGTTACCCCATGGAACCAACTGCCCTGTGTTATATTTCCTTGTGTCAATAGAATCTTATATCTTCAATAAATGTAACTTAGACCTGCATACAAACATAAAGCTATGGTGTCTCTTTGTTTTTCCTTTTTGAATTTTTGTCCTTCTTTGTCACCCTTTTTGGTAGTTCATCACTAAACATTGAGAAATCATAGCATACAATTTGAGGTGAGCATTTCACAACCTAATACAGGAAGATAGTTTGGAAAGCAAGCACCTGGTCCTCCCTGCCCGAGGACCTTCTCTGGATACAAACCAAGCTCTGTTCACAGGGTTCATTAAACAGGGATGAGAGGTGGGAGGGAAAGGGAGAGAGAAGGGAAATTGCATGGAAATGGAAAGAGACCCTCAGGGTTATACAAAATTACATACAAGAGGAAGTGAGGGGAAAGGGAAAAATAATACAAGGGGGAGAAATGAATTACAGTAGAGGGGGTAGAGAGAGAAGAGGGGAGGGGAGGGGAGGGGAGGGGGGATAGTAGAGGATAGGAAAGGCAGCAGAATACAACAGACACTAGTATGGCAATATGTAAATCAATGGAAGTGTAACTGATGTGATTCTGCAATCTGTATACGGGGTAAAAATGGGAGTTCATAACCCACTTGAATCAAAGTGTGAAATATGATATATCAAGAACTATGTAATGTTTTGAACAACCAACAATAAAAATTAAAAAAAAAAGAAAAAAGAGGAAAAAAAAAAAAAGCCCCCAGAACAGGGTTCAACCAGTGAATAGGGATAGGTGCACAGATTCCACCTGGGTGAGCCTTCTGGTCGACCAGAGATCTTCACTGAGGTCGGAGCTCAGATACCTTCAGGAATGATCTCTTCATTATGTCACTCTCTGCTATCTTCCCTCTCCACGTTGGAACATTTTCCATCATCCCTATAGTGTTTCCTGGGATCAATTTGCAAATAAATTCTTGGATCCCAAACCCCAAATGAGGATCTGTCTGAACATTTATCCAGACGAGTTATCTTGTTTTCTTACTCTCAGTGTGCCTGCTCCTTAACAACGTTTCATGCAACGTGGATGGTTGCCTTATCATCAGTCAATTCTTGGTTTGACTGTCCATTAAACTCGTAAGTCCTCTGAACAAGTGCTGTTTCGTACCAATTTTCAGTGTCTTTCAGAGTAGTCGTTGTGAATGCTTTCTTTCACTGCATCTGAGGTATATACAAAAGACCACTTTTCTGAAGAAGCTACCACCCTAGGCCTCACTAAAAACAACCTGAATTGGAGGTTTCCTTATTTTGTTTTCTTCTGTTTTGTTTTAGGAAAGGTGAATGAAGAAAAGCTTTCATGAGATATTTAAAAGAAACTGTGGGAGACAAGTCAGACTCCCTCATGGAACACACTCTGTGATTGCTACCCACTCTGATTTTCCAGGAAGTCCAGATACTGAGAGGTAGAATATCTCTGCTTCTTGTGAGGTGACGAGGCTGGACCTTAGCCCTTCTACTCAGTTGTCATAATCTGTGGATGATCCCATGGAAGGAGGTTTGGTTCAGATAGGGCAGAAATTTCCAGAAGAAGTGGCTTCTGGAGAACAGAGCCAGTAAGCAGCATGAGCCCAGTCTACTGTGTACACAACCAGCTTGAGGGTGGGAGCACTTTAGGGTGAAAGCTCTATGGGTAGGAAAGCATATGGTCCATTCCATCCACCCATTGGTCATCCAATGTCTTCCCAACTAATTAGATAACATTTCTAGAGAAAGTGATCTTATGAGTGTTACTTGGCAGGATTTTGGCTGATCTAGTGGACTTGCCTGAAAAAGGCACCGAGGACTCACCCTCTGTGTTCTGAGCCTTCATGGTCTGTATTCTTCTATTTGCCCATTTGCAGTTAAAACTGGAACAATATTTCCAGGGATAACACCTTCGCTCTCATATGTGCTAAATAGGTTTCTCTTCACCCCATCATGTAGCATCTGGCTAATTTCTCCTGATTGTGAGGTCAGTTACGAGTGGGAATAGCTTCTTTTGTAGTCTGAGAGTCCATTGGCATGAAAGGCATCAAGTGATAAGGTGACATTACAATAAGTAACATGGACCCTAACAAACATCTCTAGAATATTTCATACATCAGTGTCTGATTTCACTTTTTTCTCAGCAGCACATGGAACATTTTCTAAAATAACCATGTTTGAGGTCACAAAGCAAATCTTAGTCTCTGCCATGCGACCAGCATGCTAGCTTCATACTAGAGGTTCGAAGCATAGAAGTTAACTAGTGAGATCAAAATAAACACACATAAACTCAGTTTACCTTTTTCTTTGACCAGGTCTGAGATGGCTCTCCCCTCTGGCTCCTGCCTCGAGCCACCTGGTGGGGTAGCGAGGTTTAAACAAGAGACTAGCAGGAGAGAGAGAGGCAGGGCATGCCAGAGAGTGGCCTTTTATTGGGAAACAAGAAATTCAGGGGAAAATTCCATCCAATGAAGGTAGAGGGGGACAGCATTCCTGCCGCAGTCTGGCTGGGCACAATCAGGAGCCACTTGTCAAAAGAAACTAACTATTTTTAGAACCACACACGCCAAACAAAATAGCCTCTCAGGAAAAACCCTCAGAGCCTCAACTGCCACCACCAGCTTTCCACAAGCCTCTCTCTCCCCCCCACCAGCTTCTCTCCACCTCCCACAATCCTCCTGCTCTTGAGGCCGATTGGCTGGGTCACGTGGGCGGAGCCAAAAAAGTCCCCCAATGAGCAGCTCCGTGGTCTGAAAGGGCAGGGAAACAGCCCAATGAGCATCACCGCAGAGGAGCCAATCAGCTAGATGTTGCTGGGGCCGAGGAGCCAATCAGCTAGATGTTGCTGGGGCCGCTGTGAGCCAATCATCAGCCAGCAGCTGGAAGTTTGCTGGCAGCTGGAAGTTTGCTGGGGCCCCTTTGGCTGTGGCTCTCAACATCTCCCCCTCTCTGTTTAAACAACAAGCATGTGGCTTAGGGACCGTGCCTGTTAGGCAGTCCAATTCAACATATGGTCCTTACCCGTCATCGGATGAACTGACCTCTAGGCGTCAGCCTCCTGTCTTAGGTTGGTACCACTGCAATTGGATCATACCCGTCACTGACTACCGGTCCAGGATACAGCCATACTTGTGGATAGGCCTTTGCACCTGTGTGTGGGGGGTGAGGTTCTTTGCCTCACCTCTGTTGGCCCCCAAATTTTAGACCATCACTAGTAGAGGAGGATGCAAAATGCCATGACATTAAGCCAATTGAGGGCTCCTTTGAAAAATTGTACCACCGGTGACACCATCAGCAAAAATACTCCAGCACTACCACAATTCGCTGTACCAACAGATAGTTCACAATGCATACAGGTGAGCTCACAATGTGTCCAGGCAAGTTCTGCAAGCAGTTCAGTGATGGCTATTGTAGAAGCTGTAGATTGGTTTTATCTTTGACTTCACCAGCACTGGGATGAAGACAGGAATTCTGGCAATAATGGCTAAAGAAAAAATTATGTAACATTACAGAAGGCACTAAAAGAAAACAATTTTCTTAACAATTTACATTGTCTTCACCGGCACTGGGATGAAGATAGGAATTCTGGCAATAATGGCTAAAGAAAAAATTATGTAACATTACAGAAGGCACTAAAAGAAAACAATTTTCTTAACAATTTACATTGTCTTCACCAGCATTGGGATGAAGATAGGAATTCTGGCAATAATGGCTAAAGAAAAAATTATGTAACATTACAGAAGGCACTAAAAGAAAAAATTTTCTTAACAATTTACATTATCTTTAAGATAATTATTAAATATAATGAAAAGGAAAGGTGAAAGTAAACAAACAGATCTGTTAACCTTCTTTTTTGTTTACATATTAAAACAATCCTCAACAGTTGTTTACCCAATTTAAATTAAACCATATAAATCACGTGAAAAAAATATTTGGATCCATTTTATCATGAGCGCTCATCATATATGATATATGGACATACGTACATTCAAACACATAACACAAAACACAAGTGTGCACACATAATATAATACATACAACACATAACATTATAGTAAAGGCCTTATAACTTTTTACAGGTGAAATCTCCATTGCAATGTTTAAAAACTCTATAGTCAAAAAATAGAACTGATCAGCAAAACATTAACCTAGGTCTGTATGAGCTCAAAAAACAAAATAGAACTTCATGATATGGCAAAGTGCAATAATAAAATAGATATTGAAAAAAGCATCCTGGTTCTGTTGCAGATGTAAGAATAGCCAAACTGGAGTTTTGGATATCAGTTGTTATGGATTTGAGCCAAATCATCTTCTTTTTGGTCTGTAGAAATCGCTTTAGTTAATCTTTCTGGAATCCAAATCGGCTGCTGTTCTCCCTGTGGAAACACATAAACAGACCCCCGACTCCAGACAATCACTGGGTCAGGACCTTGGTTAATCTCTCTGGAATCCAAATCGGCTGTTGTTCTCCCTGTGGAAACACACAAACAGACCCCCGACTCCAGACAATTACTGGGTCAGGACCTTTCCATTGTCCTGTTAGAATATCCTTCCAAAGTACCTTGGGCTTATGTACATTTTTTGGAAGCATATGACTTTCCGCAGCACTAAGTCCTGATGAATCCAAATTTAAAAAGTTTAGAGTAAAAAGGGTTATTTTAAGTTTATCTTTGGGGAATATATACCCCTTCCCAATTCCTTCTTTTTGCTTTAATAAGTACATTTTAATAGT